GGGGGGTGGGGAGGCAGACAATAGAGCAGGTCTTCTGTGTGTGGGGGAGGGGGCATGGTCTAGGTGGGGTGTCACCTCCCTTGATGAAGGCCAAGCTCTCCTGGTTCCTGGGCAGGGGAGCTGTGATGGTTAAGGGGAGGGGAGGGGCTGGAAATCTCACCCCTAAACATAGCCAAGGTCTCCTCCTAGCTGTGGAAAGCAGGCTCGAGGGGGTGTGGGGGCATGGGGACCCAGCTCAGCAGAAGATGAAGCCTAGGCCATCCTCCTTGCTGGGGCAGGAGACTTAAAGGGGACAGTACGGTCACCCCAAAAGATGAAGACCAAGCCCTCCACATTGTGGCCAGCTGGCCTGGGGGGTTATGTCAGGCTGTAGAGGGCTATAGGGATGCTGGGGGTGGGGGACACCCTCTCATCAGGTCCTCCACGCTGTGGTGTTTTGGCTGGGATGAAGACATTGAAGACTAGGTCTTGGTCTGGCTGTGGGGGCTGCTGTAGGGGGCTGTGGGGCCCCCCAGAAGATGACAATGAAGCTTATAGGGGCCCACAGGAAGTCCCCGGGAGCATCGTCTCACCAGAAGATGAAGACCAGGTCCTCCTTCTTGGTCTCACAGGTCTCGTAGGTGGCATCGTAGAGGGCGTAGCGGCAGTCACGCTCAGGCAGCAGGGCCACGAAGGCAGCATAGGGGTCAGGGACTGCGTCGCCCACAAGCACCTCTTTGCCAGGCTCCAGCACGATGGCGCACTGGTCCTCGCTCAGGCAGAAGAGCACGGCCTTCTTGCGCTGGCTCAGCTCGGCCGGCCCCGGTGATGCCTTGCGCACCTTCATCTCATTGAACACCTTGATCACCCCATCCGACACTGCCACACCGGATGCCTGGGGGGTGGGGATGGATACGAGTCAGAGGGTGCAGGGGCCCCCCCAGCTCACACTGCCACACCTGGCACCTTGGGGGCAACCAAGGGGGGGGGCACAGGGAAGCCACCCCACCATCTGACATCACTATACCCAATGCCTGGAGCACTGACATCCACCCCCTGGGTACCACACTGTCATGTCTGACACCTGGGGTGGGGGCGCAGGGACCCCTCCCCCCACATCTGATAGAACAGGCCTAATTCCTGGGGGTGGGACAAGGGGTGCATGCTCCCCCAGCCAACCCCAGTTCAGGGGGTGCAGTGGAAATCTCCCCTAGGGGGCAGAAGATAAGAGGAAGGACCCTCCCAGCCCTCAGTACCAGGC